GGACCCATTCGAGTGTACATGTATGTGTGCACGTGTATGTATGCATGGGTGACACCAGCAAACTTAAAGTCAGGCTGACCAGTGAGTATGAGAACCAGCTGTTAAGAGAGACTGTAGGTCCAGGCCAGTTAAGACCCATTTTGGGGCATGTGATCAGATGAGATCTGCCAGTACACCTGACTAGCTGGCAAGTGAGAATAGGATTGGGCTATCTTGCATGGGTTGTTCATGCGTACATGAGTCCTCTGCGCACATGCAGTACCTGCAAAGGCACAGTTCTGCTGTGTGGGTCTGTTGGATGGCTTTGTCAGTACAGTGTGTGTGAGCACATGCATATATGCATTGCTACATCTGGCTAGACATGGCATTGGACAACTGCAGCAGCCTTGCTCTCACAAACTGGAGTGAAAGAACTCCTAGAGGTCCTGAACTATGCTGGATGCAGCTTCTCTTTGACAGTCACCAATGTTCAGATGTTGTTACCTGATGATCCAGGAGGGGTGGGAGAAGACCAAATGCTACTGCCTTACTTAGCAAGTGTCTGTGACCAACCACAGCAAACCTAGAATAACATAGATAAGCTCTATCTATGCTCTAAGCTCTAAACTCCTTTGGTGAAAAAAATAGAAGAGATAGAAACATGATAAGTCTGCGAAGAAAATGATAAAGCTGTGCTGTGTTCTTCCCGCTTTGGTCTGCTGAGTAAGTCTTTGTGCTACTCTGATTAAATAGGACCTGGCTGGCATTTGCTATTTGACTCCTTCTGGCCACACTAGACTCCTTACAGATGGTCACCCCTCACTTCAGGAAATGCTGGGAAATAAAATGAACACTTTTAACCACTAGACATTACTGTAAAGAAATGCTGAACTTGAAGTTGTTTGTCCCATTCATCTACTAAATCTCCTCAAGATCTAGTTTCCTTTTTACTTGCAACTCTCCGATTATCAAAAACTAGTATAGCTGTCAGCAAATTCATAACTAACAAACAGATTCTGCTGCTTAGCTCATCCCAGCTGTCCTTCCTCAGCAACCAATGCAAACTCACTTCTGTTTGTGGAGGGGCAATGGCTTCTGTCTGTTGTATCTGTGTGCTCCTTCCCCAGGTTCCTTCATCCACTCTGTGCCCAGGCATGAAGTGCCAGGGGAGCTGGAAGTCTCCTATCCACAAGTTCAACCACAGGATGCAGGGGTTTACTCTGCCAGATATATAGGAGGGAACCTCTTCACTTCTGCTTACACAAGGCTTATTGTAAGACGTAAGTTCCATTAACATGTGCTGATGATTAATTATTTACAGCAGTAATTAATCTGAAATGAAACTTATACTGTGCCCAAATAAGGGCCAAAATCTTTCTTGGCATAAGCTCCCGTCAGATTATGTCAGAAGGAACTGTTTCCCAAGGATCTTTTGTACAAGCTGATACTGATTCAAGCAGCTAAGAGAGAAAAAAATTCAGATTTAGGTTCAGTTCTTCTTAGCTATTGCTCGGACAGCTAGCTCTTTTCTCAGCATCTCAAGCTTTACAAACACCAAGAAAGCATGAACAAAGAAGGTTGCACTGGGTATCCCATGAATATGAGATGTGGCTCTGAGTACAAAATAGGAATTTCTAAATGTTGTTGTTCTCTATGGCAGGCTATATCCAAACCCATTTATCCCAAGATTTCTCATCTTTAGCATAGGTTATTGTAATGTCACAAACTACCCCAGCCTTAGTTAGCTCTTGAAGTTCACCTCCCAGTGGATGACCTGACCAGCTGACAGTGCAGGTGGATATTTTCCATTAAGCATTATACATGTGTCGTAGCTCATGCTGCTACATACATTTCCATCAGATATAAGGAAAATTACATCGTATGAACTTGGATAGAAATACAAAACCAATATGTAAAAATAAATAGCTGTTCAAATATGTTACATTATGGAGAAAATATCTGATGGTAAAATGTATTTTACTTGCTAACATAAATAGGATACTTCCAGGAGTTGCAAATGAATCAATATAGTGCCCCAGATTTGCATTTTGAAGTTATTGCCACCTTACTAAATAAAATGATTCAAGATTTATACTCTAGTGCCAAGCTAGAAGACTTATCCATAAATTCTGCCCCTGCCTTGAAATAGGCTTTTGTCTTATCCATCCTGCCTACAGAGAAAACTTCTGGGGCATAGTCTAGGAGAAGGCTAGGGAGCACACTAACAATACAGAATGGATGATTACATGCTGCAAGAGACTAGCAAAAGAACTTGGTTAAAAATATATGGCTCAAACAACTCCAAAGGCATGTAAGCAAACACAGGCAGACTCCTGTACTGACCCTCTGACCCTGATGACCAAGGGGACTGATAAGAAGAATGAAAAGCGAGACCTGGAGGAAATGGGAGTTGCTGATAAGGAACAAGCTCTGCTGGAGAGTACAGTATTGTCCTGTCTTCAAACTCCAGACTCCGCCTTGATGACCACTGATGGTGATGGTTTGAAGGAGATGATTGTGCATCTAACAAATGACAAAAGAGAACTTCTATGGGGTCTATCAGTCACCAAGGACCCCCAAGCCTATTTCCAGAACCTTGTGGACTAGGCCCATTTCCAGAACCATCTGGAAGGACTGACTAGGCCTGCATGCATATGCTAATCACCTCCACCCATTGGGAAGGCCCTTAAGAACTGGAGCAGATACAAGGCAACAGCCTTGGCCATCAGTGGGATGCTCTCACTATCCTGGATCCACAACACAGAAGGAAAGAGGACAATGCCATCACTGCCAGGAAAGAATACAAGAAGAATCTTGCTTGTTGCTAGAAACTGGGGTGGTGAGACTTTCTCCTCTATTTCTCGCTTTCCTCTTTTTTTCTTCCACCTTTAAATGTTATCTCCTCTCTTTCTAGCTTTCCTCTCTTCAGTTCTTCCATCTTTCTTCACTCACTTCAGTGTTACAATACACACAATCTTGTTCCTTGTTCAATAAAGAAAGTTCTTTCACATATCTGATTTCTTGGTCTGGATGCACTTTTATTTGCCTCTTAGGAATCCAGAACCTGTGTCAAACCAGGCTTGAACGCAGAGTTCTCAAACTGGTCCCTGACATATGGTACTGCTCAAACACATGTCCTCTCTTCCTTTCAATTAGCATTATAGACACAGACCAATGACTTTCCTCAAAGCTTTTTTTTTTTTTTTTTTTTTTTTTTAAGAATCTACATGTAAGAATTTCATTCTGGGAGAAGGAGGAGACAGAGCTCCAAGTACTATTTTTATTCATTAAATGTTTGCTGAAATCTGAAAAACCTGATCCAAGTCTGGATTATTCATTTTTAGTGGGCCTGCCTCAGGACTTCCCAGTTTATTATCTTCTTAGTCCTAGCTTTACACTAGAAGAAGTCATGAAGGTCTGTTTCTGTGATGTAAGAAACGTTGTTATAAGTCAAATAGCGGAAATTATTGAGTCCCCTCAGCTCCCACTGATTTAAAAGCAGCTCAGAGAATTTTGCATCTTTTAGGGATAGACAGAAGTGGGAAAGAAAATAATGATAAGCATTAAAACAACTGATTGCTCTTAGTCCATTTATTCCAGAAACAGGTCACAAGTTGATTGATCCTTCTTATAAAGACTGAATGAAGATAGTAAAGATACAACAAATGTGAACCCAGTCTAATGTACTTTCAAAAAAACCACTGTTATGGAAAAAAATCGTGACTTGCCAAATGCTGGTACAATGCCAGTGATGCCAAGCTTGGTCTTGCTGGCTTACTGCCAGTACAGCCAGCTCCAGGTGAAGCCTGGACCTTGTGTAGCTCTTGGATCCCTGCTACAAGAATAGAAACCTTAAATACAACATCTTTGCCAACTTACAAACTTATTTTTCCAAACTAAAAAAACCTTAAAAATCTATCTCTAGTTTCAAAAATGAAAGTCTTTTTCAGTTCCTTCCTTGAAGACGTTACATAGTATTACTGTGTACTATGCAGCAGTTCTGCTCCAGAAATAGAGGCACTTCCACGATGAAAAAAGTGATTCCTTACAGTAGGTCAGTTGTCTGGGATTTTGGGGGGTTCATGTGGATCATATTTTTTATGTATTTTACTGTTTGACTTAGTTAAAAAGAATTCTACTACTCATTGGTTACTGAATAAGAAGACAACAAATATGTCATTATATTTTTGCATAAAAGGATGTGAAGCTCAGAAATGGGGCCCTTCCTGTAGCTCTCACTGCCCTTCCTGCACGAACAATGGCATTTGTCATGAAGATACTGGGGAATGCATCTGTCCTCCAGGTTTTATGGGAAAAACATGTGAGAAAGGTAAGCAAATACTATTTTCACAGATTGCTTATTAATTTGTGCTCAGTAGCAGGAGTTGGCAGATTATTGGGGGAAGCATCAAATGGAGTTGCCTTGTTTTACTCTTTATAGCTATAGCATTTACTGTTGGTGCTGGAGACAGGACAGTGTTGGGTGAGATGAACCCTGAACTAGTAAGGTTGTTCTTGTTGTTGTGATTTAATTTCACCTTCTCTTCTAGTAGAGACTATATTGCCAGGGAAGATTAATGTTTCCAACTCTTCTTGATCAACATGCAGCTGGACAGGCTACTAGAAAATCTCATCCAGGCTCCCTTTCCCACAAGAGGCTGGACAGTATGATCTTTCAAGGTCCCTTCCAGCCTGGGTTGTTCTATGATTACCCAGAAATTCAGTATGTTCAAAGCTACTGACTGACTGTTAAATGCATGACAAAACATGAGATCTTAAGAATAGACTGTCACTAGGAAATGGAGGCATGTGTTAGAGGTTCCCTGGCTAATTCTGAACAAGCTGCTAACATGCTCACAGGGTGATTTGTCAACAGTGTATGTCTGTTTGTGGATATCCATGTCTGTGACCATTAGTTTGGATTCTGGAATAATTACAGAAGGTGTCACATTGCTCTGATCTCTCCAAGTAACTTTTGGGTCCAATGCTAAGTATGTATCCTACTATTCTGACTGAGTTTCAGTGCTGCAAATACTAAAGCTAAACTATTGGAATAGTTGACATCTGAACCAGTCTAGTATAGCACCAATCATACCAGAAAAGCAAAACCTTGAGCTTGGCAGTTTCATATGCACTGACCTCCAAGATTATTTGGTTTTCATGGCACCGTTTGTCTGTTTTATATTAAAAAAGCTTACAAAGAAGGTTTATTGCTGAAGCTCTGCCCCCGCATATCCAAAGCAATGGGTGCTTTGATGATGGATCCTCACAAAGGGGAAAGATACGCTTTTTTGTGCTGCCTGAAATTAACCATTAGTACAGCCATGGCTTAAGTTGTTATGGATGTTAATATATCTGGTACTTGAATGGTAAAAATGCTGATTTTTATTTTAATTTATGTTTTCTGTTGTCTAAAGCTGTTTATTAGAAGCAATAGCTCATTTGTGGACTTAGTGCTCTTGGGCTTTTTTTCTCTCTCCCTTCAATAGCTTGTGGAGCCAATATATTTGGCAAAACATGTGAAGAGACCTGTAAAGAAATCCATGGCTGCAGAAATTATATGTTCTGTCTACCAGATCCATATGGTTGTTCTTGTGCCACAGGATGGATGGGACTGGAATGTGACAAAGGTACAGTAAAAAATTTGAGGAATGGTGAAGAGTCCTTAGTGTGCTGCACATAGGAAAGAGAACTAACAGAGCAGAGTAAAATACAGGATTTTTTAAGGCATAATAGTAATTACATATTTCAGAGGACCATGTCAGATTCACAGAAGAAGGGCACAGTAAAGCTGAATGCTATTCAAATTGTTCTGCAAAACAAATTTATGTTCTACTGAGACATTAAAAATTCTCCAACAGCTACAGTGCTGCTGTATTTCTACAAGTCACAACATTCTATGATTCTATGATTCTATGAAGTCAAACTGAGCAATTACGTGCCAAACATATATCCATTGCTGAGCAATACTGAGCATAATCAGCCTTGTTCATTTCAACTAGACTGCAAACTCTTTGGGACACAAAGCACATCTTCCTTTATGAATATGTGCCATCTTGTTCAATGATGAAGCCTTTGGACACTACCACAGTGTAAGTAAAAAAAAACCAGTGGAGATTGAAGAAGCTTCCACACTGGCATCTAGTCTACAAATGACAGGCATGGACACAAACGTGCTCTACTTTTTTGACATTACTGTGTTCTCAGGACACTCTGTGGATGATATAGTGATAATACATATAGTTGCAAACTAGAGCCAACCAAGGGAACTAAACCCTACTGGAGAACTGATGCATGAGATTGAAAAGTAATGGAAGATATTTTCTATTACCTTTACACTAACTGGAAACATATGTACTTGTAGAATGCAAACCTGGTTTTTATGGATCGGATTGCAAACTCAAATGTAATTGTCACAATCGAGGCACATGTGACAGATTTAAGGGCTGCATCTGTACCCTCGGATGGCATGGTCTGCAATGTGAAAAAGAAGGTAAAGCAAGGTAACACGGTAGTAAATGGCTTTTCCCAGTGTAACTGAAACAGATCTTCATGCTGGTACAGCATTTCCACTCCAGGCTGGTATTCTTGCTCTGTCAATTGCTTTCCAGGGGCCCAGATACTTCTGTACATCTTTATTCCAATGCTTCTGCCCCATATGCTGGATTTAGCAGGGTGGTATGCTACTATTTAATCTGATTTTGCTTTCAGTAGAGGTATATTTGCAAACCTTACTCCATAGGATTTGACATTGACCTTAATATCAATTACTATCAGAAACTGAATGTCCTACCTGCATGATCACCTTTTAGATAGGCTCCTGCTTTACCATTACTTACCTCTTACTCATCTGCATACACTCCTATACCGTGTGCCTCATGATCTGAAATTGATGACTGAGACACTAAGACAATCTGAGAGTTTAAAACAGCTCTGTCTCTCTGAGAGAGAGTTAAGCTTGCAAAACTGAACATACCTCGTTCAGAATCTCTTTGGATTCAGACAAGGTTCACACGCAGTATTTGATAAGATGCACTCAGCATCTACTATTTCTGCTCAATAAATAAAGTGACAAACATGTTGTTAACTTGTAAAAGCTTTCAAGCACAAAAATAAGCAGAGAAGTAAGACCGTGATCCAGCCAGACAAACTATACTGTTGTAATCTGACTGCTCTTATAAATAGACAAAATGGAGAGCAAATAGATACCATACATTCAGTACAAAATGTGTGCATGATTTTGCCATAGCTAGACTGCCTGTCCTTAGAATGTCAGTGAGAAAGAGAGGGAAGGGGAGGGAAAAAGAAAGAAGAGTGGACACAGGGCTTATTCCTTCTCATGTGATATTTACACTGATGTAACAGCGCTGACTGTGGCAAGCGTGATCCTTGTGTATGCCCACTTGAGTGAAGGGAGAACCAGACACATTTGCTGCCCATGTTCATTGTACTCCTAAACCTGTTTTGGTGCTGCCTTTTTAAAGTTCTGTTTGAAGGCTGACATTAAAATACTATATATTCAGCAGATCTTTCACCTCAGATAGAAAACTTACTAGATCCTGTAGAACTCAACTCTGGTGTCGAGTTCAAGCCTTTTTGTATAGCAACTGGGATGCCCCTTCCTAAATCCGAAGAATTTAAACTTTTGAAGCAAGATGGAACTGTCCTAAGGGTAGGCTTCTGATTAACTGCTTCCTATTATTTCTGATGTTCATACTGACTTTGTCTGTAGTTAATGCACACTATGCTTTTCAAGCATGTGAAATTTTTATATTCTGAGATACCTCATGAACTGGAGCACATACAAAACAGTGGAATTGACCATTGTAGACTCTTCCTATTGATATCGCTAACCTCTAGATGAGTTCCTAAACTGTGAGAAAATGTAATGGGAATATTCCTAAATGCCCACACTTTTTGGGTCTGTATGTCTTTTGTCATTTCAGCCTGCCCTAATTGTTACCAGTAATCGCTCTGAAGCTATGTTTACAATTAATCGAATCCAGCTGCGTGATACAGGAACCTGGGTCTGCAGTGTGCAGACAGTAGCGGGAATGGCAGAGAAACCATTTCAAGTTACAGTCAAAGGTAAAAGCATGAATCTCTTCGGGTATCTTTGCCTCTCTGCTTTTAAGGGAAGCTTTATACTCTAACGAGGCAGAGCTTTCAGCTCTCTGCACTGCAGGACAAAGTCTGAATAAATATGTACAGTCAGAATATGAACAGAAACCCTTTATAAGCAACATACTGATTCTGTGCATTGAAAAAATAACAGTGATGGTAAGGATTAGAAGAAAACCCAAGATTTTTTTGGAAGATCCAAACTGCCATCTTTAGAGTATAAGCCCCTGTCTACTTTGTAAGAGTATTGAAGAACACCTCCCATTTTCCTGTGTATCTAGGAAGATATGAGAGTTTTACTGATATAATTAAATAACAGAATTAAAAGGCTCGTTTAATACTTCCATTCTTGCTCAGTTCCTCCTGTGCCACAGTACGCCCCAAGACTGACAGACAGCGGACATAATTTTCTTATTATTGATATCAATGCTGCGTTACATCTTGGAGACGGACCTGTTGTGTCAACAAAACTCCTGTACAAGCCAGCAAAACGTTACCAGTCCTGGATGTCTGTGGAAGGTAAGAGAACGTTCTTTAATTCCCTTAAACACAAACTTCAGCTGCATGCTGAAACATAATGTAGTTCCTGCTCTTGATTAGACTCAAAAGACTCTACAACACATAAATTTTTTATGACTGGACACGTGACTCTTTTTATATCACTATATAAAATGTTCATGTGGGTGTGGTATACCAACAGAATTCAAAAGTGTATATTCAGTTTTCAGTAACCAAAGAGTTCCCTCCTCCTTCCTTAAGATAAACAGTACTCAGTGTTTGGCCCAGCTTTTGAAAACTCCCATGTAAATAGCAGGTTTTCAAAAGTAGTAAGCAGTATGGAGACATCCTGGAGCATCTACAATCTTCCTTCATTTCTACTGTGCTCTCTGGTGAGACAAATATCTTACCTAAATATTTATGGGGAACAGTACGAGCAAAATTAAGCCTGCTTCTGAGTTAGATAATCTCATCTAGTCCTGTTTTAACATTTTATGCAAGGCCCAAAATATTATAGGAAACATTACAGGAACTTTAACAGGTAGCAAACAACTGCACTAATTCAAGATAACCCAAGATCTGTATACACAATGCACACTGCCTAAGCAACCAATCCTGCTCTGTCCTGAAGGATGGGCAGATGGAAAAAATCCTTTGGACTGGGTTGGAGCTCAACTTGAAGATAAATATACATTTTTAAACAATTTATCTTAGTGAATCAGAACAAAATAAGAGCCTGACTAACTTACCTTCCATGGTTAGTGGTTCAGGAATATTTTCCAAACCTTTTCTTCCTTAACATTTTTCAGCGTAGACTATAGCTTTACTTTCTCCTTTTGTTGCCAGTAAAAGGCACAACAAAAAGACTGGACAATCTGGAACCAAAAACAGAATATCAGTTCTGTGTTCAGCTGAGTCGGCAAGGGGAAGGTGGGGAAGGCCATCCTGGACCACAGGCTAGCTTCACAACAGCTGCGCTTGGTAAGTCATCATCTTGGGTTTTCACAAAAGGGCTGTTTCAGCTATTTTTCTCTGTGATCTATTCCCTGATCTTTGCCTGAGCACTTTCATTTGAGCGAAGGCTGGACATGAAAACTATATAGAGTCTTTCAAAATTATCTTGGGCAAAGAAAAAAAGAAGAAAAAAAAATCAAAGGTGAAAAAAAAAGAAACAGAAAAAGACAGAGCTATATTATTCTCCCTAATTTAGAGATGGGGGATCTGGGAATGGAAAATTTACATATTTTAGCTGGCTGTGCAACAGAGCTGGAGGTAGAAATAACATAATTATAGAATGGTTTGGGTTGGAAAGGACCTTTAAGGGTCATCTAGTCCAACTTTCCTGCAGTGAGCAGGGACAACTAGATCGGGTCGCTAAGAGCCCTGTTCAACCTCACCTTGAATGTTTCCAGGGATGGGGCACCCGCCACCTCTCTGGGCAACCTGTGCCAGTGTCTCACCACCCTCATTGTAAAAAATTTCTTCTTTCTTATCTAGTCTGAATCTACCTTATTAGTTACCCCTTGTCCTATCTCTACAGACCCTGCTAAAAAGTTTGTCCCCATCTTTATTAAAGCCCCCTTTAAGTACTGAAAACCTGCAATAAGGTCTCCCCAGAGCCTTCTTTTCTCCAGGCTAAATAACCCCAACTCTCTCAGCCTTCCTTCACAGGAGAGGTGTTCCATCCCTCTGATAATTTTTGTGGCCCTCCTCTGGACCTGCTCCAACAGGTCCATGTCTTTCTTCTACTGAGGACTCCAAAACTGGTCACAGTACTCCATGTAGGGTCTCACCAGATCAGTGTAGAGGGGGAGAATCCCCTCACTCAACCTGCTGGACATGCTGCTTTTGATGTATCCTAGGACATGGTTGGCTTTCTGGGCTGTGAGCACATATTGCCAGCTCATGTCCAGCTTTTCATCCACCAGTACGCCCAAGTCCTGCTTGTCAGAGCTGCTCTCAATCCCTTTATCTTCCAGTCTGCATTGTTACTGGAAGTTGCCTTAACTCAGACAGAGGACCTTGCACTTGACCTTGTTGAACCTCATGAGGTTCACATGGGCCCACTTCTCAAGCTTGTCCAGGTCCCTCTGATGGCATCACATCCCTCAGGCATGCCAACCGTACCACTCAGCTTTGTATAGTCAGCAAACTCACTGAGGGTGCACTCAATCCCACTGTCTATGTCACTGATGAAGATATTAAACAGTACTGGTCCCAAACGGACCCCTGAGAGACATCATTTGCCACTGATCTCCATTTGGACATGAAGCTGTTGACTACAACCCTCTAGATGTGACCATTCAGCCAATACTTTATCCACTGAACAGTTCACCCGTCAAATCCATCTCTCTCCAATTTAGAGAGAAGGATGTTGTAGGGGACTGTGCCAAAGGCCTTACAGAAATCCAGATAGATGACACCGGTAGCTCTTTCCTTGTCCACTAATCTAGTCACTCCATCATAGAAGGCCACTAGGCTGATCAGGAAGGACTTGCCCTTGGACAAGCCATGCTGGCTGTCTCAAATCACCTCCCTGTCCTCCATGTGCTTTAGCATAGTTTCTAGGAGGATCTGTTCCATATATCACTTCTTTTGCACGCCAGTTTTTCCCCCTCATGCCAGATCAGGTATACTTCCTTGTAGTATTAGATCAGTTTACTTAAAAAATGAAGATGTTTGAACAAGCAGGAAAGCTTTTAGTCCATTAAGGATGCATCCCAAACTGAACACAGACATACAAATGAGGATAATAAATGAGGATTGTACCAGGAACTATCTAACGAGAGAGCAAAAGAGCTGGCTTCTGATGTCTAAAAAGTGCATCTGCAATGCCAGCTCAGACCTTTTTGTTGACAAAACAGCTATTGATAAGATACTTTGGGACTATCATCACCTCTTAGATGTAACTTCTGCCAAACTGAGTGGGGTGGCAGGGAGAATTACCCTTTGTCACTCCAAACTAGGGCAAGTGGTTGGGAATAACTGGCATCCCTGTTTTAGCTTGCATACCAGATATGAGATGTTGTTCCCTGTCTCATTGTGGCTTTTCCAAGGTCTTCCTCCACCAGAAGGTCTCACTCTCTTTCCGAAAAGTATGACATCACTGAATTTGTCATGGCATCCTTTAACACTGAGGACAGAGGATGACATTCGTGTTGAAGTGGAAAGAAAGAGCGTGAATGACAATGGTGACGAGAGCAGTGTTATTACTCAAGTGCCAGGAAATATGTCTACGCTGATCATTAAAGATCTTGAGCCTAGACAGCAATACATGTGCAGGGTACGGGTGAACACCAGGTCCCAAGGAGAATGGAGCAACTATCTGTATGCATGGACTTTCAGTGACAGTAAGTAGCTGATTCACATCCTTCTGCTTAATTCTTCCTCTTTCCCCCAGTGAACAGACTGATTGTCACTTAATGGCAACATCAAATGTCATCCTTTGTTCTGGTAACACTCAGTTCCTCATGATCACTTGTGGTTGTTATTACAATTATTATCAAGTGTCCAAAGAAATTCTTAGGCTGCAAGTTATCAGGAACTAATAATGAGTTTTTAAAATACATGGGAAAAACAAATTAAAAGCTTGGGCATCTACATCTTCATTTTAGTGTGATTCATGCTTCTGGCACACATAGCATGTTTTAGCTCCTCATAGTGATCAACCCACAGAGCTCCCTACTGCAAGCTCTTTTGTTACTCAAAAAAAACCCCACTCAGACCCTGAAATTCAGTTATGACGATGCAGAAAGAGTCAGCAGTTAAAGAAAGAAGAGAAGATACAATGCAAGGTGAAACCTCTGAGAGCAGAGCAGTTAACTGTGCTACACTGAAGACCAATGACTGCCCTTGAATTCCCTGAATATGAGTAGTGTCCTTTCAGAATGCCACAACAAATGGCCTATCTGAATGAAGTATCAGCTGAACAGATGTCCATCTGAATGGCTGATGGGTGCTACTGCCCATACCACACTGGAAAGGTGGGCTTCTTCCTCCTTAGAGGTCCTGTGAGGAGGCCCTCACTGAGATCCTACATGTATCAATGACTGTCATGGGACACACCAGTTTCCTAAGCTCTGATGCCAAACTGCACTAAGAAAAACATTAGGGTACTGTTTTCCAGGAGAAGGTACTTAGCTTAGTAGTCATGGGTGTGTCTGCAAGTCTAGCTCTCACCCCTGCTGGTGGTTTTCTGATTAAATTTGTGGAAATGTTAGTATCTATTTCCCTTCTTTCTAATAGCCTGTATCCTGAATTGCTCCCTGAAGCAGTGGGAGCAATGGGACAAAGGAATCACATGGGGTTGATGATTCAGTATAGAAGGAAATTAACCATTTCTGCATTAATTTGAAAGCAATCATGTTGTCCTTGCATAGAGCTCAGAGAACTTGTATCTTCATCCAAGGACAGGAGTATATCAAATGCCACTCCAACCTCTGCTGGAAGTATGGAGTACTGCAATGTGGGTGACAAACCAAGTTCATAAAACTATTGCATTCAGCTACCATAGCTCATCAATGAAATTCTGCTTCTGTTTAGTACAGCAAAAGCACCAGGAAAGTGTTTGGCTCACTGTGGGAAGGAGAAAGAGGTGGATGTACACTCCAACGCTTTGTGTGTGTATGTTTGTGTTTTTCCCAGGAATCCCTCCTGCACCATACAACATCAGGTTTTCTAACACCACAGACACATCCTCAGTCATCTCTTGGACAGCTGCCGAGGGTCATTCCATCTCCTCCATCATCATCAGCTACAAAATTTATGGCAAGGCTGAGTACAACCACATTGATATTGTCATAAAGAACACCAGCATTACTCAATACCATCTGAAAGGCCTCGAGCCAAATACTGTGTACCAGGTTCAGATTAATGCTCAGAACAACATTGGCTTGAGCAACCCAAACACATCGTTTGAACTGAAGACTCTTCCAGAAACTAAAGGTTGGTTATTCCAGCATGCTGGTCTTGCACAAACCAGGGCTGGTGGTATAAATTAGTTAGCTAAGTCATAATTATTTATTTTTAATATTAGTTTTCTTTTGTTCCTGATTTTTACACACAACACAGTATCACCAAAATTTAATTCTCAGTTCACTGCATGGCATTGGTGAAATGACAACACACAGCATTTGTATGTGCTCGACAGCCCCTAAATTCAAGGAGCTGCATATAATAGGACTTTTAGATCACCGAATGTGACATCAGCTCTGCTCTGCCTGAACTCAGTGAGACCTGCAGGTGCTCAAACATCTGAAAACCAGAGAATCCAATGTCTGTGCTACTTTTGGAAAATAAAGGGATGTATCTCTATGTCTTTATGTAGTTTACGAGACAGGACTATTTAGCTATACATTGTTCACAGTTTTTTCAGAATTAGATGGAAATGATGATAAACTTTTTATGTGCTTCCTCAACAGCTCAATATGAATCAAAAGGAGGCAAAATGCTGCTTATTGCTATCCTTGGCTCTGCAGGGATGACCTGTGTAACAATCCTCCTGGCCTTTCTCATCATGCTGCAGTTAAAGCGAGCCAACTTCCAGCGCCGAATGGCTCAGGCTTTCCAAAATGTGGTGGTGGGTTTCCAGCTTTCTTGTTTCAGTGTGGTTATTAATTTTGGCCCCACCTTTTCCTGTTTTTTTTTTTTCTAATTCCTTTTCCTTGGCCTTCCCAAATACTGTCTTCTCTTCTTGTGTTGTACTGTTGTTGTAAAGTTTCTCTGCTAGTGACCTCGGAGCTACATCAATCACAGTTTTAGGTTATGAGGCAGAAAACCTGATTGAAAAAAGCTGCACACCATTGATCCTCCTCCCTTTTCTCCCTTGTCACACTTGTGTATGACAAGTACCAAGCAAGATAGAATGGAGGAGCCTGTTCTCCCTCTGTGAAGTTGTGCCTGATTTTGAAAATTACAGTATTTTTTAAATGTTGCTTTTGAGCACCAGTAACTGCTCCATCATGGCTTTTCTACTTGGAGACAGCACACCAGGGATCTGTCAATGGCAACATCATATGTCTGTCTGTGAGGAAATTGCTGAAGGCTCTAACACCACATAGAAATATCTCTGTGTATATATACACATATATATTTTGTATTCTGCTGTAGTTTCTATATCACTCCGCTTTCCAGTGCTGTTCTCTCACTTCAAATGGGAACCTGTGAAGCAGAATTAAGCTGGGCCAAAAGGCTCATCCATATGGATCTGCATAGGTTGTTTCATAAACAGGAGGCCAAGGTGCTCACCCAGAAAAGATGACCAGTCCCTAGGCTACACAGAATAGCTCCTGCTCCTTGTCTTGAAACTTTTCTCACAGAAGTATTTAATGGGAATGGGTAACTGAAGTACAGATGGAGAAAGACCATTTCCTCTCTGTTTCCTTGCTTCTTCTTTCCTCAGTCTTTCTACTAAGCCTGATCGGCACAGGATTCAGTCAAGCCTAAAATAAGATAAATCTCAAATCTGAGACTTAAAAGTGGTCTTGTGATGAGTTTTACCAAATGATCTTTGCCCAACTCTTTCACCTTCAAGATGATTACAGAACTGTTCAGGAGGTGTAGGTCTGCAAAGGTACTTAAGCATAAATCAGGAGACTGATTAGTTTTGTGGGTCTGGGCAGAAGTGCTTGATACATTTAATGTCTCAAGTAGGTGTAACTGTCTACTGTACTCACTCCTGGATAAGCAAGAGATGGATCAGGCTCTGTGTGACTGTGTACATGAGTGAACACACGTGTATTTGGGGAATGTAATCAGAGCATTGCTCAGTAAAGCAGAAATCACAACTAATGTCATTTTCTTAACTCTGTTACAGAGGGAAGAGCCAGCTGTACAGTTTAACTCAGGTACTCTCACCCTGAGCAGGAAAGCCAAAAACAGCCCAGATCCCACTATTTATCCAGTTCTTGAGTGGAATGACATAAAGTTTCAAGATGTGATTGGGGAAGGTAACTTTGGGCAAGTCCTGAAAGCACGCATTAAGAAAGATGGCTTACGCATGGACGCTGCAATTAAAAGGATGAAAGGTAGTAAAGAACAGAGACTCTGAGACTAAAGATTTTTCTTGGTTGTTTGTTCCAAGTGTTTTGCTGTCATAAGAAATGCTTAGTAGCCCTCTCCTAAAGCTAAAATAAATATTGAAAGTTGATAGTGATTGTATCAGCTGGCACTAGGCTAAGATTTGTGCCCTGGCAAAAACTGCATTTCTGTGTATATACATACTATGAGGATCACTCATTTTCTTTACACTTTACACTTACTGAGTGTGACTGCTAGAGAGAACTACAATATGTAAAATACTGAAAGAATGTACATATTTTCCTGAAATTCACTAGATCATTATCTAGGCAAACTGGGAGACACTATTAAGTATGATGGCCATTTAACAAAGTGCCAAGGTCTGCATGCAGGCAGAAATAATCAACAGTACACACATAGAAAGATTTTTAGGCAGCTAGTTTTCGTATGGTCTGCTATGACATTTTACATTCTCAATAAAGGAAGTGATATGGTATATTAAGTTGCTTTCTTTCTCTGCAGATGGCTGCTACAGACATTAAGTTCTCTCTTTTCTTCCTTCAGGTGAAAAGTCCTAGTTTTTTCAGTAAATATTAATTTATCTTAGTTTTTCTATTGGAGCTGAAGCAGTAGTTCTCCAGGCAGCCCAGAGTCCTCATAATTAACAACAATATGGTCATAATTCAGTTCAAAGGAAAACATAAATGCATGCTTATTTGATTTTCAGAGTATGCCTCAAAAGATGATCACAGAGACTTTGCTGGAGAACTTGAAGTTCTTTGTAAACTTGGTCATCATCCCAATATCATAAATCTCTTGGGAGCATGTGAACATCGGGGTAAGATACTCTTGAATAGGTGTACTTTAAAAATCAATTTTAGAAAACCCCACAGAAGAACGCATACAGTCCATAGAGACACGAGCTCATAAGCATGCTTTTCTACAACATTGGTTAAAAGCCCGAATAAACTTGGTTTTAGATCTACAAGCCCACATGAATCCTTCAGAAATTATGTTCAACAATAGCTCTAAATTCTCCTCTGCACTTAGGAATTATGCTGTTTGCTATTTCCCCTCCAGTTTGTTTTATGTTTATCTATCCCTTTTTTTACTCAAAGCAGTGTAAATGTCCAAATACTATTACTGACCACCTTTTACTTTGTGATATGCTCACTTTCTGATGTTTCATTAGGATATCTTTATCTTGCTATTGAATATGCCCCCCATGGAAATTTACTGGACTTCCTTCGCAAAAGCAGAGTGCTAGAGACGGACCCAGCATTTGCTATTGCCAACAGTACTGCATCGACACTTTCCTCTCAGCAACTTCTGCATTTTGCAGCAGACGTTGCTAGAGGGATGGACTATTTGAGCCAGAAACAGGTCAGTCTTCAACTCTACCCACTGAAAGCACAGCAATTCAGTTTTCAGGGACTATGCCTTTTAATTAAATCAAAATAAGGTTTTAATTTTAGCTTCTGTAGCACCTACTGGTTCAGTTTTATTTTGTTGTGTTCACTTAGCCCCATCAAATGCTATGGTCATGGGGAATCAAGGAAGAGCCATTAAAACTTACAAACAACATGTTAACTAAGTGATTTCATCTTCAGATAAAGTTTAAAATGTTCTTGGTAGTGACATACCAAGTCATTTGTTTTGGTTTCTGTTCTTATTCTGAATGCTTGAAATTTTCAATACAGCACTAAAATAATACATGTAAAGCTCAGAGACACTGTGGTGATTTCCTTTTTTTAAAAAAATTTTAGTTTATTCACCGAGATTTGGCAGCAAGAAACATCTTGGTTGGAGAAAATTACGTTGCAAAAATAGCTGACTTTGGCTTATCAAGAGGTCAAGAAGTTTATGTTAAGAAGACCATGGTACGATCAAAACAAACTGATTTAGTCTGTTTTCCTCACTTTTTGTTTGCTCGTTTCTTAATTTGTGTTTTCATATGAAAAAAGACGCAAACTCATGGGTACCACAGAACTGATTATTTAAATGTTATGTATTAACATGTGTAAATATTTATATTGTGTTTATTAATATACATACATTACTTTAAAATAAATTCTGTACCATGTTTATAATATAATATACAATGTAATTTAAAATTATTTCTATGGATACAGATGGCAGTAAAATAACCAGTTTTGCAGCCAGTTATGAGATTTAGTAAAAATGCATTATAAAAAAATATATAAATTTGGCATATGAAGAGGATATGTGCATGTGGGTGTATCTGCACAGTTATGAAAATAATATTTTCATACCAGAATTTGTCCATCTGAGACAAAGTAGTCTAATTCTATTGAAAGAGCCTGAAGTTATCAAGATGGTAACCAGAGGCATGTCAGGATCTGTGAGCTGAAAAGAGAGCTGTCCAGAGCTAATGCTTTAGAAGATCTGAAAGAGGAAGATGTGTAATAAGCATCATGAAGTCATAGATCAGGAATAACACCAGGTGGTCAAGGGAACAGGATGGTTAGAGGCATCATAAGACATCACTCAGAAATTATTTCCATTTCCTCCCAATGCTGGTTGGAAAAATTTTCTACCAGCTTTAGTGTGAACTGCTCCTTTAGGAAGTAAATGCACAACTTAATGAAATAAGGTTATTCACCTGATAAAGCTTACTTGCATACAGCCAGTTTCCATTAAAGTAACATGCAGAACAATTCTTGGGGTATAAACTGCAATATTGCTATTCCAACCAACAACAAATAAACTTCATGAAATAATTTCCAGGGACGGCTTCCAGTGCGATGGATGGCAATTGAATCTTTAAATTACAGTGTTTACACTACAAACAGTGATGTGTAAGTATGTTTTCAAGTGATTTTTTGAAATAAAGAAATATTTTTCATTATCAAGGAAAGTTTGACAGCCATCATGAGATATCTACTCCTAACTCAAAAAACTCAGTAGGTGTGTCAGCACGAGTGAGTGATGGAAGCAAAAATAAAACCCACAACAAAAAAGTTGCTTTTATTTCATTATCAGTGTCTGAACAAGTGCTGTGCTCACAAGCTAACTGGATTTGAGCTACTACTTTAGCTGTATTTCTCATTTGAAATCAGAAACCTGATGAATCCTTGGGAGATCCAGGGGAACTCAGTACTTTAGTCAGGAAACTGGAAGAGATATTTGGCAAAGCAATTCTGTAACAACACTATTTGCTGACAGCTCACAGTCTAGTAAAGGACTCTTGTTGATGGACTCCCAGAGAATTAATTTTGCTGAAGATCTCACTCCTGCTTTCTGATTCTACAGACGCTATCATTAGATAAAAATTAATAAAAAAAATATAAAAGAATGAATCTCACTTCTCTCTGTTCTCTGAATACTAGCAAAACTACCATTTTAAAATATGACATCTTGTTGCACTCTATAATATCCCTTTGTTGCAGATGGTCTTACGGTGTCCTATTATGGGAAATTGTTAGTTTAGGTAAGTAACTGAATTCTCTGTTGTACAAATATAATCAATCTGAGCCAAGCCAGCTCCATTCACTCAGTCTGTTAAAAATTTATTGCTTTGCAACATATTTCAATTTTTTCTGTTTCATTCTACTAAATTTTATTTAGCTTCAGTGTGCTTGGAAATGCAATTGTCACATTTTCAGTTCAGGTACCATTTAAAATGAGAAAAACATAATGACCATGTTTTTATTGCACCATAAAACCTAGGCCATATCTAAATATAAATTCAGCATATTGCATGATATATAGCCCTAAACCAATGCCCTAAACCAATATGTTTCGAGTTTGACGGGGGGCTCTTCTTCAGCCTTCCCAAGTTGTAAATCAAGACATATTTTAATGACTTTTGGGCGGGCAAACATCTGCTACTCCAAGAATTTTCAAAGAAAATTTTTGAACATTAATCTTCAAATAAAATTTAGAGTTCACACACCTCTATTCCTGATATATGTGATACAGCCTCAAACCATTGAAAATGTGTTACATAGCTTTTAGGATTTGCCTTGGAGTGTGCCCCATGGTCTGCTGGCCAAGAGATGCATACTGACTGAGGTGCACACTGTGTACTGGTCTAATTGTGAACTCGTGCTTTCTAACTTGGTCACAGCTTTCCTTACTAAACGGGCTTGTGCTAGATATGGATGGGAACTAACACACTGCAGTGTAGAAAATCAAGTCTAAGCAACCAAACATCTGCAAAAAGGGGCAAAGCCAACTTGACAGTAATAGATCCATGAGTCCATACTAGATCTTACTAATATCATGCTAATGAAGGAATGACTTGCCCATTGCCATCAAGAGTATTGCAAAACCAGTTCATATACAGTCAGATGAAGGCCCTCAGAATTGTAGAGAAATTCAGGCCAGCCCCCCAGATTTTAAAAAATTATACTCGCTTTTATTTTTCTCTTCAATATTGTGCATTAAATGGTATAGAAACTTTAACAACAAAAATGTAGCTGCAAAATGTTCCCTAACATTGGACTAATTTACCTGTTACTCAGTCAGTCATTCTCTTTAATTTCTGCTATGAAATTAAACTTTATTTTCTTAAAACCACTATGTTCATGACAACGGTTAAACTCTGCTTTAGGTGGAACACCATATTGTGGCATGACATGTGCAGAACTCTATGAAAAACTGCCTCAAGGGTACAGACTGGAAAAGCCTCTCAACTGTGATGATGAAGTGTAAGTAACTGCCTCAGCATACAAAACAAAACAGAATAACACAACATCTGATACAGAAAATATATGATGTCTACAAGAAACTAATAAAACAAACATTTTTTTCAGGAAAGCATAAAACATGCATTTAAAAAAAATTAAAAGGGGTGCACAAGTGGAAATAATTACTTAAGTCCTTTTGCACCCAGCATACACTGTTATTTGCCATGAACCCTTTCCTAGGCTCTCTGCTCCTGCCAGATATCCTGTTGTTTACACAGCATGTCTGGGCTTTAGCTCAAAGAGAGCTTTTTGACTATTCCAGAGAAAAAGAAAATTCTTTTCAGACAGCAACCAGCTGTGGAAAATGTAACTCCAGCCACGTACAAATCCATTTTCCTTTGAAAAATGAATTGTGCACAATCTGCCAGTAAACATGAATTTGTAGCTTTAACATATGTATCTAAATTATCAAATGTTGGTGTTTTGGTGTTTTTAAAGGTATGACCTAATGAGACAGTGCTGGAGAGAGAAACCATATGAAAGACCATCATTTGCTCAGATACTGGTGTCACTGAACAGGATGTTAGAAGAAAGGAAGGTAAGAATTGAAGCCCTAGAAAAGAACTAGGCCATGAATAATTTCAGCACAGTTTAGGATTCCCAGGGTAACACATCTTGCATCACTCTCTTTCTGTTTATTTTCTTCCCAGACCTATGTGAATACTACCCTATATGAGAAGTTTACTTATGCAGGCATTGATTGCTCCGCTGAAGAAGCTGCTTAAGACAGCAGAAATCTTCATTCATCAATGATATATGGAAGAAAAGCAAAACTCAATCTTCTGGAGCCCAAAATGTGATGTGATGTGTAGAACTGTGTATAGCTCTAACTGTATATAATACAGTTTGACTACAGATATGTATGTGTATATCACACAATAACCTCTGCCTCCACAGGCTGTAGAAGTGTATATACTGTTCAGAGTAGGAACAGAATGAAGTAATGAAATCTGCTGTTTCATATGCAGGGTTTACCTTTTCCTAGTCATGTAGATATAGTGTATACATACAATTATTTTAATGCACTAGGTATTGCTATCTTAGATATTTTTGACACTTTTCAAGAGCTACTGATAGCAAAGTGGGGATATTATAGCAGTATTTCATAGACTTTTCGTTGTGACTCAAACAAAAATGCTCAGCTCAATGCAACAATGGGAGTTAGAAGCAGATGTCAATCCAGTATGCTCACCAAGGATAATTAATTATTAAGTAAGACTCCTATTTGAATGTAAAAGTGAGCTAGTGGAAATAATCTGTTCAAAAATCCTATTGACATTTGTAAGATATAAGGCACGCTATTGCTCTTTCATTGTCCAATTTAACAGTCAGTGTTTTATGCTATTGGAGGCAGCCATACAGCAATTATCATGAAGCATAGGATTGAGGAAAATACTATATATTGTAAAACACATTTTTACAATTAGCCTGGATATACATGAGGCTTATTCAATTTGTACTTAATTTAATAATTTCACTGCATAATTATAAATTACTACCTATTATATACAAGCAGGACTGACTTACTTTTGCTTATTTTACCCCTTATGCAGTTTGTAGTGTGATATGGCCTCTTAAAAATATTGTGCCGAAATTCTTCAAAACTATTATATTTGGCCTGACAGAGACATCTTCTAATCCTTAGGTTAGATAGAGAGAGGGAGGATTGGCCTGACCTTCTGGTATCAAGTCAACCACCTGGGATCCTGTGGACTTACCCTATTTAAACTTCACAGATCAGCTAACCTCAGGCTTTGCACATATGTTCCCCTCATTCCCTTGTGACTCACCAGCTCATAACTGACCATCAGATCACAATGACTTTCTAGCTGGGTGGATCAGGTCACCCCCAAGACTTGGAAGAAGACGCTAGAGAGAGAAAAAGAGAAAAATATTTCTCCTGATATGTAGTTTATGGGTGGGTATTTGTTGGTTACAAGGCATGGATCTCACAGCAGGGGACAGAGTAACATTACTGGCATACACCATGCTGACTCAGAGGCACCAAAAACCTTATTAAAAGTCAACAAACAAGGGTGCTGAGATGACTTGTGAGGCCCTGACAGGCGCAACTTGCACTGTTAGGTACAGGTACTACAATCTGAGTTTACAAAGAGTGCACAGATTTACTGGACCAAGGAACAACACCAAAATGGAAAAGAGAAACAAACTGAATTATATTTTTCATAAGAGACTACTTGGCCAGGCACTTCTGAAGCACAGGCATTGCATTTTGCAGTTCAAACAAGTTCCTACAGGTCAGTGAGTGAACAGGAATGGACTTGCATAGGTGTTTTCCAGGCTGCCAGGCAAAGCTAGCTAACAACTTCTGCTGCAATTGCCCCACAGAATTTTCACAGGTCTAAACAGCTCATTGTCTCACACACCTCTAACAAGCAGACACAACTGATTATTCCGCTACTTGATGTGAAACCCTTCATCTATGGCAAAGTTATACTTGGACCAATATGCTACCTAAGGATAGAATTGGAGTCATTCATCAACCCAGTAAGTCTTAATACTGTCTGCATTATAAGTGCCTGAGTCGCACTGTAAATTTAGCTGAAGGTCATTTAAGTACTTGTAAATGTTCATCATATCTTAATTTATCATTGTGGCATGCATTAAATCTGCTGTAATGCAACTTTTTTTTTTTTTAATTACCATTTTTAAAAATACACAAAAGAAAATAACTCAAATAAACAGCTTGAGATGTCTCTATTCAGTCTGTAGATCACGGAACTACAGTGATAAAAAACACCCACTTGTTCTGTCAGAGTCTCAGGTAGATGAATTGCTTCCATACTTGTAACTAAACTGGGTACCCCAGGTTCAATAGCTAGATCTTACGGTTGGTTATCCAATGCTGGAAAGCCTAATCCATGGCAGAAGGTGGCGTATAAAGGTTTTTAGCTTAATCATTAGTAAGTTGTACATTCTGCCTTTCACAGCACAATACTTCAGATCCCATGTCCCCTCCTTCCCAAGTGTCTTATATTTGTTTCTTTGCTGTCAAGAGCATAACACTACCAGCGCACACAGTTTTCCTTCATTCCAAATACCCCACATCCTAACATTCTTTATACACCTCCACCTATTTATACCTGCCAACATCTATGCACAAGCTCAGAGTATCATCAGCTATTCCCCATGCTGTTTTTTGATATCACAGCCTTAGTTTTCCTATATTCACATACAGTTATCAAGCTCATACTCAGTACAAGTTTTTGGTTGGGAAAGAAAAGAAGCGTTTCAGACAAGTGGAGTTGGCCATGCTTTGAGAAGTATGCAACACGGAATGGCAGGTAACTGCTTACAGTCAAGCGTTATCCATAGTTTAAAAAGAAATCAGCAAACAATCAGAGTAAGTAAAGCCTTTAAAAACAAAAAAGCAGAAGCAAACCCTCCACACAACTTCTCTCTCACTGTCCTCAACTTCCATTTAGTGCAACAGCCCTGATTGTTTAACAGTCTTAGTGCAGACAAAAAAATAAAATCCTTAGTATGTCCATGCAAAATTCAAGAGCTACAGAAGAACACAGTATCCTTGGCAGAAAAGCTAAGAAATTATCTGAGAACAGACACCACTGGCTAGTGTAATGTATGGTTCACTAGATACCATCGTGAGGAGACAGATAACAAAAACTCCGAACAAGCACCTTTACCCCCATTAGACTGGGCGAAAAGTAAGTTATAACTATCCTTGGAAATGTCTGAATTCAGCTAATCCACTCAATGGCTGCACTTCTCTCGCTCCTCAGTAACCCGAAATGAAGCAAGTATCTAGTCTTAAATGATGGAGATATTTAATTCTTACTTCTCTATGGACAGACTGTGCCTGACACTACTTTAAAGTCAAACACAGCCCTTCTCTGCTATCCAGAATATAATGGTCAGACATTTGCTGAAACTAAAGTACAAAATGTTGACTATTACATACATCTCATCAAAATGTATAAATACCTGATGGAAGAAAGTAAAGCAGATGGAGTTAGCATCTTCTCAGCAGTATCCAGTGACAGGATGAGAAGCAATTGGCATAAGTGGCAATCTAGGAAATTCCACTGAGGATGGTCAAGCTATGGAAGAGGTTGCCCAGAAAGGTTGTAGAGTCTCCAGCCTTAGAAATATTCAAAACCTGACTTGGCACTGCAGAGGACTAGACTAGATGATCTCCCCAGATGCCTCCAATGCCAGCTACTCTGTGACTCTGTGAACTCCGCAAGATGGGGGAAGGGAAATGCAGAAAATAAGCAGAGGCCCAGATAAAGACCATGAGCAATTAAGTTACAAGGGCAAACACAAGTTTTCTCCCTTGTTGCTATTCCCTCCCTGTGCTGGTACACAACATTCCCTGCTCCCAACACACCATCTTGCCTTTCCTGAAGTCACAGAGTGATCAGCCATTCCCATGTAGCAAGGTGACATGTCTGGACACAGGGGAACGCTGATTAAACAGCTAGAACAAAGCAAGCAAAACTGTTCCAGACTGTAAGTAAAAATCCTCAAATCAAGCAATCCTACTGTAATATTTCCTTATAATACTTCAGAGTTCTTTCATGTATTCACTTAGTAACACAATATATGACACAGGTGGTGAGACTCCCACAGTAGGAGCCGAGTTTCAGTAAGTCCCTCTGCAAACTGGGGAGGTCCTGTCAGATCACACGTCTCCCATCTCCAAAACATGAACTCAGATGCCAGCTCCTGAAGATGCTGGGTCAGGTTTTGCAGTAGCTAAGTCTGTATCATAATATATATAGAAAAAAGTATGCTTACAGTAGGCAGCAGCAGAGAGATGACAGACGTTATGAGTCACAGTTAAGTCATTGTTACAGTGATTAACTACACTTATATTTACACCACCTTTCATTTTTGGCAAAATTTCATTACTCATCAGAACTGTTTTATTTTGCTATTTTTACAAAAAAGTTAGTATCTAAAGTTATTTTACCTATTTTGCACAGTATTTTATCCATTTGGTTTTAATAATACCACAGTTAACTACATGAAGAAGTTATTAAGAAGACAAGTCAGATAAGGTTTCTTAGACAGCCTATAGAGCCTCAGAATTACCAGTCTGGTTACAGCTAACAGCTTGTTGGATGACTAATACAGGTTTCTCTGCTAAGCAGAACAGGTTCTACAGATTTACTGCAGATTTACTCAATGCCAAACACTAAAGGCAGCCTTCACTAAAAAGACGTATTTTCAAAGCTGGTAGGATCCATGAGGAAGTCTGTCCCCTTTGTGAAGAACATGCCAAAGCCCCTTCTCCAAGTTGTAGTAGGGTCTGTACACACGACTGTTTTATTAATATAGAAAGAAGTATTGCCTATTCTTGGAGGAAGGAAAATCAGAAGGGGTTTGTTTGGAGTGGGGGTTTTTGACATTCTGAGCAGCAGAATGTTATTTCTAACCACAGCTACCTCCTCTCAGCATCTCACAGAAGAGTATACATCCCACAAATAGATTAATATGTTAAGAAGCAGCTACAGTGATTTTTAACCTTCAATACAGATTTAATCATGTAGTATACTTGTTCTTTGGGACACATCTGTGAGAACCGTAAGATCTTTACACTACTGATCTTCTCTTACAGGGTCCTCAGTCAAGACCATTTTCCTTCATGGCTCTCAGGTTTCTCTGATGAACCCGTGCAAAGCATAACTTCAGCCCAGAGTTTGTGCTGTACAAAAAAAATGTGGTGCATTCTTACATTTTCATTTCCTTTTTCCTTCACACAAAATAAGTGGCAAGAGAGTTTAAAATCCTCCTCTCTACAGGTAGCAGATGCTGAATCCTATCTTAAGCCAGGACACAGGGAATTATATCTCAGAGTATAGTCCCATTTCAGCTGAAGCAGTGAGCACATTTATGTC